ATATATGGACCTAACGACCTAACGTAGAAAAAACTTAAAATCCATCCAACTACAATAGCAGATATATATTCCACTTCCTGTATCGGTGATGACGCAAACATTCTGGTGACAAGTACTTAAAGATGATTAAGGCAATTAGAAGATGATCCAGGAGTGGGATAATGACACTGCAGTTGGGAAAGTCTTAGTGGGAGATGTTGAAGTAGGTAGTTAAATAGATGAAGGCACATGATGGGAATTTTGGAGGCTACTCAGGGATGGCCAGTGTCCTTCAGGGTCCTGGAGGAGTACTCGGGGCTCCATATTTAGGCAGTCTCAGAGAAAGCTTGTTCGATACTTTATGTATAATTGATGTGAAGTAATGCTAAACCTGGGTGTAGGCTCTAGTATTGGAGGAGAAGAGGAGGAAGAGGCAGAGGTGGTGTTGGAGGAACTGAAGACAGTAGAGATTGAGAGGAGTGATAAATTATGTAAGGACATTACTAGTGTTTTTGTTGAATTTATTACTTATGATGCCGAGACATATGAGAGGCACTAATGTGCCGACTGGAGCCTTCCGGCTGTAATTGTCTTGGCACAGTGACTGTAGGGCACTCTGACTCGCTGGCCTTCAGCCCAAAACTCTAGTCAAAGGGAAAAAATGCATCATTCAAAGAGCAGTGTCTGATGTTTCTTTTGCTGCCCTAAAGGTACGCTGCCTGTTAGCCCTTCAAGGCTTCATGAAGTATCAGGCATAATAAAAGCCCATTAAACTTTTCAACTCTGAATATAACATTAGAAAGAAATGTTAAAAGCCCTCAAATATCAAATATCAAATATCAAGCATCTACAGAATTTCGAAAAAGAAAAAAGGCAAACAAACATTAGAAGTACTTTAATTGGATTTTTCTACTTCACAGACAAAATGTGAACAAAGACTCAACAGAGACGACGTAGTCGTGACCTTTTTTCCACTCTTCATTCAGGCTTTTTTCAAAGACCCTTGTACATAGAGTGCTATAAATAAGGCTGCTGAGGTTTGTCAACATGATGTCAATTTCTGATTAAAACATAAAAACTAGGACATTAATGCTTTTGAACCTTGAAGTGAAAAAGGTCATGCACTGTTGTCTTATTTGAAAAAAGCACACAACATCTAAGAGTTCAATATGTTCTGTCGAATGGGCTAAAGTTCCTCCTAGCCGATGTGTCTGACTCATACACAATATAAAACTTCGATGTAGCTTCCAGATCAGAAAAATAAAGCCAATGCAAAGTGTCTAAAAGCTGTATTCATCATGAAAATTACCAGATGGAGATAGCTGTGGTTTCAAAAAGATATTTGGCAGTATAGAAGTTTATTTCTGTCTTGTCCTCTGTAACCTCCCTCCCCTGTTTCCTGCTCAGTCACTCATTCCGAGTCATATTAAACCTTAAAGCAAAGGTTCCTATGCTTTTGTCACTTGAAAGTAATAACTAATAAGAATAACGTATAAAGCTTAATATTGTATGGTTGTTATTTACATAGCTCTTCTACAAATGCTACCCTGGGTAAATGTGTTTTTTGGTTAAGAGCACATTAGCTGTGCCACCTATTCATAAAGAACTTGAAATAAACTGAACTGCAATAAATATGAATTAAACATTTTGAAAAGTTAAATTTCAGTATCTTAAATTACTCCTGTACACGTGTTTCATAATTTGTGAACACGTGCTTTTACCTGTGTGTCTGCTCTACTTATATATGTATATTTCTTTCTTTATTTTTATTTTTATTTTCTTTTTACAAGGAGTGTTGTAATTTCAAACATTTATTTCTTATGATTTAAGCTCACAGAGTCAGGCTTATAGAAAAAGTCAGACATATTGTTCAAATTGCACTCCTTATGTTAATATATTAACATGTAGTTAAAACATCTTTGCACTGATAGAAAGAGGACTTTCATTGGTCTGGACCCCTTAAGCTCATACTGGACTGTATGTGGCCCACTATGTAAAATAAATTTGACATCTCTGATCTGAAGGGCTCATCACCTGCTAAACACCACAGTTACTTTGTCTTCGCGTCTATGTTTCATGACTTGTGTTTGTACTTTTCTGTGATGTAATCTAGACAGTATAAAATAAACCAAAATGAACTTATCTTAGTTTGTTATAGGAGGCAGTGTGGACATCACTATTTGATCACTCTCCAAATGATTGACATCCACTAAGAAAGACTACAAATACTAGAGTTAAATTTAAATCCTTTAGATATGCTTAAAAACCAGCACAATGGGTCCTGTTGTTTATATTTGTCCATATATTATTTTCATATATTGTCTATAAACGTATTAATACTTAATAAATATTATTAATCAATTAACATGTAAGCAACAAGTTGTAACTGTTCCAAATTTCATTGGTGATAAAATTCAAATGCAGAAAAACGTTGATTGGCTGAAGCGTACAGTTTATTAAAGATACAGTGATTAATACTGGAGTATTATTTCCTGTGTTAAAAATAAGTAATCAGAAGTCTTGGATAAGTCCAGCTGTGTTTACTAGGAGACAGAGATTAATCACAGAGAAATCTGATCATGCGGTGGCGGCCTTTAAAAGTCCAAAAGTTCTTAAATGTCAGTTTTTCACGAGCTCATCCTGACAACTTTTTCTTTTTTTGGGCAACCCTTTACACGGTTTGTTTTGCTAAACTCTCAAGGGAGCAGACTATCTTTATTTTCATAACCAAATTTGGAAACAAGCAATATTATGTAAAGATTTTTGTAGAAGTGTTTCCATAATGGCATGCAACACCAGAGGTTATTACATAAACCTTCGCATTAAAGCCTCATAACTTAGAATTTATACGCAGTATACAAACATTTAATAAATGATTTATAGCACACTATAATGTAAGCAGGTAAAAGTGTTTATACATGCACATGTAAACAGTAATAACTCACTGAGTGGAGGCTGAGGTCTTATAAGTTCAAAAGGCAACATGATACAACTCAGCGGTCTTAATGTAACGTTATAATTGTTGATTGATTATTATTATTAAACACTTTTGATATTATCATATAACTAACCTACAGTGCAGTGCACTCAGGCAGTGCTTAAAGGTGTATAAAAGTTTACCCAGCAAAGGTTGCAGGTGGGCCGTTACCTTCAAACGAGGACATCGGCTCCAGGATCCCAAACTGCTTGAGAACTGCCATGAAAAGGATGATGACCACGCCGATGGCGAAAAGCTCCATGCCCTGGATCCCCATGACTTCAGAACAGGCAGGAGCCCACTCAGGGCCAACCAAGCCCCCGGGGATAGATGAAAGAAAGCTCGGGTTGATGCAAGTTAGCGCTCTATTCAACAACAAGCGGTGTCAACAGGGATGAGCCAAGAGGCAACAGGAACCGGCCTGGTTAGTGGGTGACTGCATGAAGCTGTCTCCAGGCCCAGGAAGCAGCATGAGAACCAGCTGGATGAAGGCTCCTCTAATGTCAACACTGATGCTGAAGTGGAAAATATGTGGAGGCTGACATATATGGAAAATCTTCCTCTCTGGACCCATGAGAAAAACTGGGAGCTGTGTCACAAGCCATTTATTAGATCAGGTTAAAGGAGACTTTTAGAGCTCACAGTGGAAAAGACACACGTTACTACTCAGCCTCTTAATCCGGCTACTATCAGTCTTCGCTGCGTAGCATGGACTAATAAATCACATCTTGGTTTTAGACTAAAATGTCATTTAGAAAAAGCAAAACAATGCGGTAGAGCGTCGGTGTCCATTTTCATGAGTTTGCACTCATTTACTAGGATAAAGTCAGACTGAATAGGACAGGCTTATTGAACAAAACATCCAAGAAGAGAACGTGAAAAACCCAGGTCTTCTCATCTTCCATGCCATAAAATAGCAAAACAGCATTAGAGATCATAAATAAATCACTCCATTACAATTTCTAAACCGCATGAGCAATCTCTAAAACCTCAGCTCTGGAAACAAAAAAACACTTCTTGTTTTATCTGCAAGCTGAGAACTATCTGACTCTCTAACCTCAGCGGTATCCACTTTAAACAGACCGTCCAGTCAAGATGGAAAAAACTGAACTTTGCTCAAAATAAAAAAATCCGGTTGAAACAACGATCTGCCCCGAAACTATTTAAACAACCAAACAAACTGATGGGGCTTACTTGATGTTTAAAATCATTTAAACAATCACTTTTTGCTGCTCTCGTACTCTTACAATAGGAAGTAATCCTCACGTCCACAATTCAAGCGTAAATTGAGCGTTCACAGTTAAGTTTAAACTTGGCATCGCAGTCCACTCTTCATTGTTTGGCCAAATCCAAGTCCAGATATGGAAGAGTATGACCCCGGAGAGAACATACTCAGAGCAGCAGCAGCAGCAGTGTCCGGGAAGGGAAATCCTGAGAAACTGAGAGTCGCTGTGGGGAATGAATCCTCCCACCCAGTGTCTGCCTCACTCGCATGCACTTTCCCACCCCTCTCCTCTTTCTCTGCAGCTTCCTGAATTAATCTGTTGCTGTTTCTTGCTACAACTTTTCACCCCTCAGCTCAGTTGCTCCACCTTAAACCTTGTGCACATCCTGTCCTTCTACTTTTTTTTGAACCTCTGGGTTCCTCCTTTTCTTCCCTCTGTCTATATGTGCTCTGGAGCTTTCAGCCTCCTCCTCCTTCCCTCTCTATCTCATCCGTTGTTCCATAACTATGGCCAACAGCAGACTTTCTCCCCCCTCTGTTGAGCTCTTTTATGCAAACTATTCATTCTGCATCCACCTTTTCAGATCCAGGAAGGCTTAAAACATTTTGAGGAGCAAATTGCAGTAATGCTCATCTTGAAGAGCACTCGATAAATGGCCTCTGATAAAGAGCTTTATGCTGTCAATAAATAGCTGCTATCCGCATGTGTCTTTGCGGCTGTTTCGCATCTCTTCCCTGGTTGTTTTTTCTTCCTTTTCTGGCTATTTTGTGTTTCTTTGTGACAATTTTGCACCTTTTTAATAAATATTTTGCTGGTTTTTGCAGATATGCAGTATTCCTTTTGAACATGTGCCATCTTTGCATCAGCTTTCTGTATTCTTTAATTGTTTTGCATTTTTTGTGGCTACTTTGAGTCACTATGTCGTAATTTCTTGCGGTTTTTAAGCTGTTTTTCCTTTTCTGTGTTCCCATTTTGGTCTATTTTGCATCTGTTGTAGGTGTTTTATTTTTCTTTGTATTCATTTTGTGTGTGTTTTACTTTTCTTTGTGATGTTTCTGTACCTCTTTGCAGTAATTCTACATCTTTTTGTGGTTATATTGTGCATTTTTGTAATTTTTCTTTTTTGGTCAGACTGTATTTGTGTTTGTTTTGCATCTTTTTGCAAAATGATTTCAGTATCTTCTTGTCATTTTGAAATTTTTGTGCACATTTCTTTTTATAATAGTTTGTTGTGTCTTTGTGGCAACTTTGTAAGATGTTTTATTATTTTCTTCTTATTCTGGTACATGTTTTTAGTTATTTTGTACCTTCATTTTGCATATTATAGCTTTTGTGATATTATCATATTGTTATATTATTTCACTAATCCACATATGATACACATTACACCACTGTGGCTCTGCCAGCTCCATCACTGTCACCATCCTCAGCTGATCCTGTTTGCATATGAGGGCTGAAGTCAAGAATTAGAGGTTGAGCAAACACAGAGATCAAATAGGAACATCAGCCTCCCTACACGTGTAACTTCTTGATCTTTCCACTTATCTGTTTTACTCTGAATCAGACATATAATGAGTCCTAATTATGCATCGCTAAACCATTTTAATGATTACACAGAATTACTGGAACATGGTCCACAGCTTGCCAAGGATAACATGGAAAAATATAATTGAGTGAGTATCAGCGTGCATAAGTATGGTTGTGTGAGTGTGTGTTTAGCAGGTCAAAAGAGGATAACTGATGACTCTGCATTTGCTAATGCATCAAGATAAGATGTGTGTGTGTATGTGTGTTTGTGCGCGTTATTGTATTGACTTGGATGGAGAAAGGAGATGCAGATGGGACGCTGGAGCGGGAGAGATCAATATCTCTGTGGTGAGGTGGTGGAGATCCCCTCTGTTTTTCCTGCACGTGGTGAATTTAACCAGAAAAACCGAGGTCACCTATCACGTCACTGGTTACTCTGTGGTGGGATTTATAATGAGTGTCAAACTTACATTTTTCACACAGCTTTGAAGGAGAGTTTGACAGGAGACAAGCAATAATGAGCCAACATTAAATACACACACACATACACACACTGTTGTAAAGGCTCACCTTTCAGCACATTCACTTCACCAGATGCACCTTGTTTCTTTTCCTCACCTTTGATTGGGGGTGGTGCACCTTCCTTCCTCCAAAACACACACACACACACACACACACACACACACGTATCTGGGCATGTGTGTATACTTATGAATAATTGTGTATGGTGGCGGATAATGCTGGCGGATTTCCGTGTGTGTGTGTGTGTGTGTGTGTGTGTGTGTGTGTCAGCCCATTAGGACCCTAACAGGGTTTAAAAGGTAGGCTTGTTGCTGATGCTGACACAACAGTCGGTAAATAGGGAGAGAGGACCCAGACTGTTTCCTCTGAGTCAGACATATCAGCAAAGATCTACTGAGATTGGAAGACACACTTGAATAACACTTAAGCCTCTTCAGTACAATAGCACTAATTCACAAGAAATGACTCCTTGCTTCACAAGTTTTAATATTTACATAAGAAGTTTGACCAGCGACTAAAATTAGAACTTCAAGCTACAGATTAGAACACAGATCTTACTGCCTGTGAGCTGACGTTGCTTACCAGTGCACCACCGTGCTGCCCTCAAATATGGAAGCAATACCTTTTCATAGAGTATAAAGAGACAGAAACATAATTTACATGTAGAAATCACTGCCTATTTCATTTGTTACACCTGTTCCAATCACAACCCATGCATTTAGCTATGTAGAAATGATTAAAATGACCTGCCGAAGTTCAAACTGGGCATCAGAATGGGAAAGAAAAGTGATTTAGGGGACTTTTTATAAAGATGTTTGTTCTATACTTTTCGAATGTTTCATAATCTTGTACCGTCTCTGTTCAGGAAAAAGAGATGGTCCGAAAAAAAAGTGTGAAAATGGGTGAAAGTGCTTTGTTGGTGACAGAATAACTGCTCGTTACAACCTGGTATACAGAAGATTATTTCTGAGTGCAGAACACGTCGAACCTTGTAGGTGATGGGCTACAGCAGAGAGAGACCACACCGGGTGTCACTCCTTTTAGTTAAGAGTAAGAAAGCTAGAAGCAGCTTCACTAACAGACTGATTCAATTCTTAAAAATACACAATATCTGACTGACAAATGATCATATGATCATTAATATTTGTCATTTCAACTGCTGTAATATTAATACTGTAAGTAAGTAATAATGTGACATTGTCTGTTCCTACCTGAGCGGTGGTACCTGGCTGCACTGTGGCCACAGTGAGAGAGGCAACTGGGCCGAGAGAGGCGCCTCCTGGCCTCCACGGAGAGCGCAGCCATCACAGCTCCCATAATCAGCTGAACTGTCACAATAGCAAGATGTCTAACAGGAGAAGATCCAGATTTTAAATGACTGAATGTAAATGCTTGGTCGTGGAGATCAATGCTAACAAAATGCTTTCAAATGTCTGAGCCGCCCGCCAAGTTTGACTCCGAGCACTGAAAGTCTCAGCTCAGCCTGAGAGGAGGCAAACGAGCAAATCTCACCTACTAACAAAGGCAACTGGAAAAAGCGACAGGTGAGAGAGACTTTTGTGTGTGTGTGCATGTGTGTGTGAGGCCACATTTGAAAATCTGTTTGAGTTTGTGACACCACGTCACCGCCAGAGAGGGAGATAAAAAGAGGAAAGGATCAAACAGCACAGCAGAGCTTCTGACCTTTCACATCACACATGTAGCAGACGCCCCGACATTTCTTTTTTTCTGCCTGTCTCACTCCCTTCCTGTCTTCAGATCGTCCGCCTCACATAAACATGACTTCGACTCCTACTGTCTCACAAATTTCTGTGGCTCTGGAAAGTCAAACAACTCCCCAATATCTGTAGTACCTCCAAGAGCATAAGGGAAAGTTTTATGCTTGTCTCTTTTGTGTAAAGAAACCTTAATGTAGTGCTGTTCAGCAATACTGCATTTGGATGTACAATCAGACTCATGCACACAGACGCTCAGACAGCAGCTATACCCCTGACTTTAACAGACTGCAAACAAACCTGGTTGCTGTAGAGTTTTTCCAAGTAAAACAGCAATTCTTCTCCGTTTTCTCCAGCGATAGAAACTCTGTTTTAAACATACCTGCAGATTTCCTCCACACAAGGGTTAATGGATAAAATAACCCAAAGATTATGTAGTTATCCAGGAATGCCGTAAAACTGCTCATGTATATCTAAAAATGTAATCATAAAGGAATATAAAGACAAGTGCAGCTGTTCAGCCTAGGAACAAATGAAGCAAGGAGGGAGTAAGAATCTGAGCTCCAAGGGAACAATTAAAGCAAACACACAGTCCCACTGCATGTAAAAAATATGACACGTGTACGTTTTACAGGTCCACTAACTCTTTGCTTTTAGTTTACTCTTACAGTACGCTTTGAGTTATTATCCATTTCCATCCCATCATTAATAAAAACTGCTGGCACATTTCCACTGGCAAATGTTATGGCATGGGCCACACATGTCCATGCCATAACATTGCCTGAGCCATGCTTTGTTTCATGAGCTGCTTCTTTCCTCCTCCATACTTTGTCTCACCATCATTCTGGTACAAGTTAATCTTGGTTTCATCTGCTCGAATCTTTTTTATCCAAACTACACAGACTGAGTCTAATCCGACCTTCTTGTTCTTGAGTGTAGCCAGCGGTTTGCACCTCCATGTAAGTCTGTATTTACATTCATGAAGGTGTTTTTTCAAACATAGACTTTGACAATGACATGCCAACCTCGTCTTATTATTAAGTTAGATGTTGAGAAGCTGTTTTTCTTTAACCAGTTCTGTCATTGGGCACTGCAGTTTTCTTCTGAGGTCTTTGAGCTGAGCACGTATAATCTCTTTAAGAAAATACCAGATTGATGAGATTTTGAGATTTAGATCATCTCTTTGGACATCACGTTGACATACAAAATGCAAGTTTAACATTTTTAATGAGCCAATTTTTGTTGTTGTTTTTTAAACTTGTACAAATATGGAGAATTAAACAGGCTTATAGCTGATTTCTTTAGACAGAGCTATTCAAACTGTTTACCACCTTATGTTTTATTTGACTCTTCAGACCAGAGCCGATAAGTGTAAATTCCAAAATGTAATCTCATTTTCGTCTTGACTGCATTATAATGAAATACTCTGGCTTTTATAGGTGAGTCTCTGCTTGGTTTATCTATCCTAAATAGAAATATTGAATTATTAGCAAATGGAAAAATAAATAATCTAATTTATTAAAATTTGTCATTTCA